TCAAGTGCTGCTGCTGCTTCTGTCTCTGCAGCAGCAGACCCCCCTCTGCGAATGCCTCTACTAGCCCCACCCCCTTCACAAGCAGCAGCAGCAGCAGCAGCTGCTGCTGCTGCTGCTGCTGCTGGTGTTGCTGTTGCTGCAGGAGTTGTGCGCGAGAGATGCTTCGTGTGGCTTGTAGGGGGAAGCCTAAAAGAAGAAGAAGCAGCAGCAGCAGCAGCTAAAGAAGAGAACGATGATGAGGCAGCTGAAGTTAACCTTAGATCTTCTCTCCAGTCAGACCCAAACAAAGAAGAAGAGCAGTCTTTAGCAGCAAATGCTGCTGGCGAAGCCTTTACTAATTGCTGCTGCTGCTGCTGCAGCTGCTGCAACTGGTGTTGCTGTTCGGGCCCTGCTGCTGCTGCTGCTGCAGCTGCAGCTGCTGCAGCAGCAGCAGCACTCGTATCCCCCCAGATTGCTTTGGGATCTAACTCTTTATTAATCTTTGCTGTTGCTGCTGCTGCTGCAGCACTTGATGGAGACAGCACGCGATGTAAGCTGTACAGACACTCTAACGCAGAGACTACCTGAATGAAGACTGCAGCAGGGCAGTTGGATACAGCTTCAGCAATTGCTGCAGCAGCAACAGTGCCGTGTCTTGCTAGATATCGTAAGGCTGTCAACAATATACTTTCCTGCTGCTGCTGCTGCTGCTGCTGTTGATCCGGTTTGCTGCTGCTGCTCATTGCACAAACAGCAGCATCACCCCCTTCCCCTCCCGCAGCACCGTTGCTGCTGCTGCTGCTGCTGCTGTTGCGATCGGAGAAGAAGTTAGTTGCGCTGCAGATAGGCAGCAGAATATCAGCATAATTAATAAGTGTAGGATGAAGAGCACCTGCAGCAAGCCGCTGCAGGTGAAGAGAGTAGAAAGCCCCGCTGTCTTGCTTCTTAAGGCCGGGGATGATGCAGCAAATTTGATCAAACAAAAGAATAAGCAGCAGCTGAAAGTCTATTAAGAGTCTGTCTGCTTCACATCCATTCATATTATCTTCATTTGCTGCTGCTGCTGCGGAGGAGGAGGTTGCTGGGGCTGCTGCTGGAGCTGCTGGTGATGGTGCTGCAGTTGTTGCTGCTGCTGCAGCGTCAAAATTGCTGCTGCTGTCTATTTGCTGCAGCTTCCTAGACACCTCAGGAGAGTCCCTAAGGCCTCCAACAAAACCAGCATCATGTTCTGCTGCTGCTGCTGCTGCTGCTGCAGCAGGGATATCCCCCGCCTGGCTGCTGCAGCTGCTGCAGTTACTGTTGTAGCAGCTGCTGCTCCCAGATATAAGAGGCCGAGGCTGCAGCAACTCTTCTTCTTCTCTCGCATAAAATACATCATTTGTTTTAAGCGGAAATGCGCAGCTGCTTGGTGCTGCATCAGCAGCAACAGTTGTTGTTGTGGCGGTGGTAGTCGTGCTGCTACTGCTGCTGCTGCTGCTGTTGCTGTTGCTGCTGCTGGGTTTGAGAGCCCCCTCGTGAATGCTTAGAGGGAAGGCGGCGTCGTCAGCAGCAGCAGCAGCAGAAGCAGCAGCAGCAGCAGAAGCAGCAGCAGCATGCTGCTCGCATATCCTTGCTACGAGCGGCACACCAGCACCATCAAAGGCATCAAAGAATCTATCGAGAGGAGTTGAGAGAGACATTTGAACTGCTGCAGCAGCAGCAGCAGCAGCAGGGCTTTGTTTGCTGCGGGTTAACATAACGCCTTCAGGTGCTTCAGTGGGCGAACCAGAAGCAAAAGGAGAAGAGACATAACCTGCTTCAGGAGACACAGCAACACCAAGGGAGTCTTGCAGCAGCAATGAGCTGCTGCTGCTGCTGTTGCTGTTGCTGCTGCTGCTGCTGCTGCGTGCAGCAGCAGCTGCACCCCCAGTGCTGCTGCTGCTGTCCTTTTGCGGAGGCCCATTATCCTCCAGCTGCAGCAGTGCATGCAAGGAAGAAGCAGCAAAGCTAAGAGGTGCTCTCTCTTTAGTTATTCTGCTGCAGCTGTCTGCACCTCCCGCTGCACAGACACCAGAAGTAATATCAGCAGCAGCAGCAGCAGCAGCAGTAGGCGGCGGTGGCGATGCAGCCGTGCAGCCTGCAGAATCCTGACTCCGCGTTTGCTGCTGCTGCAGCAGCAACAGCGTTTGCTGCTGCTGCTGCTGCTGCTGCTCTCTTGCAGCAAATATAGCTTCAGGCTGACGAGCAGCAGCGCTGCGGTCTTCTAAGGGGCGAAGAGCTAAGAGGGGTATCGCTAGCTTGCTACCTTCCATCTTGAGTGAATATAAAGAAAGACAGAGCAGCAGAGCAGCTGCTGCTTCCTGCTGCACTGAAACGAGCAGCAGCAGCAGCAGCAGCAGCAGCAGCAGGAGCAGCAGGAGGAGGAGCAGCAGCAGGAGCAGCAGAAAGAAGAAGAAACAAACAGCTCCTGCTGCTGTGCAGTATCGAGAGAGAGCAACGGCTGCCCCTTCTATTTGTATGATATGAGGGTTAATATTTTAGGTGTATAGGCAGGTTGTTTAGAATATGAACAGCAGAGAGATTGCGGTGTATGTGCAGCAGCTCAGCAGCAAAAAGACGAAGTGAAGAGCAGAGAAGAGCAGCAAATAAGAAAGTTAAAAAGCAAACAAAATAACAAAATAATATCTGCTGCTGTAGAGAACTGAAGAAAAACCCTTTTAGCAAGTATATACATCGACAGCTGTGTATACACCACAAGAGATGTATAATAATAACTCCAGCTGCTGCTGCTGCTGCTGCTGCTGCTGCTGCTGCTAAACAGCCGAGAAAAAGAAGTTATATGAAGCGATGTAATAAGAAAGAAGAAGCAAAAAATAATTTTAAATAGCTGCAGCACCGGGCGTTTGCAGACATCAGATAATATCGGCGTACACCTCAGGGCGCAAGGTGCTGCTGCTGCTGCTGCTGCTGTTGCCGTTTCGTTTGCTGCTGCGGCGGCTGCTGCCGTTCTGCTTCAGCAGCTCGAGTTATTCTTGTATAGTTTGAAGAGAAATGAGTGAAGGAGTTGCTGCTTATAAACAATAGAAGAGCTGCTGGCTAAAGTGTGCATACACCGCAACACATACAGCAGCAGCAGCAGCCAGTTGAGGCCCGGTGTAAGCAAGCTTCAGCAGCAAAGACGCAAGCAGCAGCAGCAAGAGAGTGAAGCAGAGATGAAGATAAACATAACATTAACAGCGCCGTTTAAATAATAACAGACAATAAAGAAAGAAACGGAAGAAAGAGGACATCTACACAAGCAGCAAGAGGTGATTAGTAGGAGGTGTATACAACAGACGGGGTTGCGTATAACGCCCGAGGGCCCCTGCTGCTGCTGCTGCTGTTGCTGCTGCTGCTGCTGCTGTTGCTGTCTCTGTTTCTGTTGCTTCTTGGGGTGAAACAAACCGATAAATAACTCTCTTTAGACATAAATAACACTAATAAACCCTAAATAAAGTAGTAACTTTAATACTTGCTGCAGAAACAAAACAAATAAAATATACAATTAACAGACGCAGCCGTGCGGGCGGAGTAACGAAGAGCATCGCCGACTGGTGTTGATTGCAGTGAGAAAGAGGGGGAAAATAATTAATTTAGTCATTTTAAATAGTATTATTTTAAATATAATACCCTAAAAATGCTTTTTATACTGTATTTTGTTATATTAATTCATACAAAATATACTCAGAAACTCTCAGCAGCACTGCCCAACCCGATGAGGAGGCTCTGGCGCGCGCAGCAGTTGATGTAGAGAAGTGCTGTTTATACCCTTAAATCTTTATTATTTCGTATTTCTTTCTTTTTATTAATGTTTTTAAACAAAAGTATTCATTTTTTCCTGAAAAACAAGCCTATTATACCCCAGTTTATGCAGAAACTCTATACATCGCACCGCCGCCTACCCCTGCCGTTAAGAGCTGCCTATACAGCCCATCAATGAAGGCTCAAAGTAAAGATAAAGAAATCTTTTTTATGTATTTATTTCTTTAATTCTTTTTATTTTACCTGTCTATACTCTTTGCTCTTTATTTATTCAGTACAGTGCCCTCAGTAGCTACAAGAAAATATATTTATACGCACACACCCGTACAAGACGCGTAGCAACAGAGACGTGTAGGGGCTTGTCTGTTTTGAAGTTTTTCTCTTTTCTTTCACTCCTATATTTATTTTAATATTATCTTATTATTTAGAAGAATTAAACCCAAAACAAGATGAGATTATATACACAGACAACTCCAGTAGTAGACAGCGACAGAGCTGCGCATACACCTCAACGTGTCTGAACCTTAAATGCATACTTTTTAAAAAGCAAGAATAGAAATAAATATAATAAAAATGCAGCAGCAAAATGTTGCGTTTGTTAATTGCTGCACTCGCTTTTCTCTGCTGCTGTCTTCAGCAAGAAAACATTTTCTTTTAATCTTGACTTTAACTATCATCAGTCAGACACATATTACTATGTAGCTGAAGCGTTCCCCCAGCATCCTGCTGCAGCAGCAGCAGCAACAACAATAACAGCAACAGCAGCAGCAGCAGCAGCAGCATCAGGAGCAGCAACAGCAGCAGCAAGTTGCATTCAGAGAATGAAGCGTCTGTTGTTTGCGTTTACTTCGAAACGGTAATATCTGCATAGAGTTGAGGTGTATATACAGATAGCCGCATATGAGTTAGGTATAATTAGTTTTATTTAGTTAGGGTTTAGGGTTTAGTGTTTAGGGTTTAGGGTTTAGGGTTTAGGGTTTAGGGTTTTGTTTGTTGCTGAGGTTTGCTTCGCTGTCTTTCTCTCTACCTCATGTCTTTTCTGCTTTTCGTTTTTGTTTTTTGTTCCTTTTCTTTAAATTAAACAAAAAATAAATAAACTGCAAATGTTTGAGCTGTACGTACACCTGAAGCAGCTTCTGATGCATTTATTAACTCTCTATTTATTTATATACACCCGCCTACATAAACTTTTTGTAGTTACACCTCAAAAACTAAAAAAGAATTGTCTGAGTGCTGCAGTATTAAATCTTTTAAAAACTCTGCGTGCATTTATGCATTTATGCTGCAGCAGCAGCAGCAGCACAAGCACAAGCAGCAAAGAGTGCTGCTGCTGCAGCAGCAGCAGAGCAGCAAAAAATGCTGCAGCAGCAGCAGCAACAGCAGCAGCAACAGCAGCAGCAAAGCGTGCTGTTGCAGGTCGATTGAAGTCTCTGTGCAGTTGCATGCGTGCATTTGGGGGGACTACTTTGCTGCTGCTGCTGCTGCTGCAGCAACAGCAGCAAAGAATGCTGCTGCAGATCGATGGAGATCAGTTGTGTTTTATTATAATTATTTTTATTTTTATTTCACCTCAGCCTCTGCAACTAGCAGGCGTTTGTATGCTGTAAGAAAGACAGCTCAATTTATTAAACTTTCTCGTTTTTGTTTGATTAATTAAAAACAAACACAAAAAGATGTGCTGCTGTGCTGCAGCAGCATCTGCAGCAGCAGCAACTGCTGCAACAGCATCTGCAGCAGGAGCAACACCGGCAGCAGCAGTTGCTGCATCTGCAGCAGCACTAGCAGCAGCAGTAGTAGCAGCAGTAGCAGCAGCAGCTGCAGCAGCAACAGTAGCTACAGCATCTGCAGCATCTGCATCACCAGCAGCAGCAGTAGGAACAGCAGTAGCAGCAGCAGTAGCAGCAGCAGCAGCTACAGCTGAAGCAGAAGCAGCAGCAGCAGCAGCTGCTGCTGCTGCTGCTGCTGTGTTGAGG